AGTCCTCCCAGCAGTGCCTGAGATTAGCCCAAGAATGCTGAGGACATAAAGTGGAATTTGGTTAAGATCCAACTAACCTTTAAGAGGCTGACAGTCACCGAGGTGAGTTAGTTATTTATTTATTCCATATACATTCTTATTATAATTTTGTTATAAATTCATTGTGTTTGACTATATTTATTGCATTGCAGGTTTATGATTATTTCATTGAAATAAAAGACAACGAACATGAATTACTTGCCCTAGCTCGTGAAGAAACATCCAGCCCCAAGAAGCATCTCCCACAACGGGAGACTCAATCCCAACCACAGTCTCCCACATTCATTTCTGTTTCTGATATAGTTCCTTATTGCAGCGATCCAGAACCAACACATGCTCACACATGTATAGATTCTAGCCCTCCTATTATTGGTCTCCAAGATACATGCACTACTCAGAGATCATCATAAATTGTTCATAGACTTCAAAGGCAAAGTTGACAATCGTCTTACAAATATAGAGAATACAATTACATAAATAAAAGCTGAAGTTGTTTGTTTACATAAAGTAATAAAATAACCTGGTGGAGAATTACCATTGAAACGGGCCACAACTTCCTCACTAGGTAGCTTAATTCCGAGGATTAAAGTCAGAGAGGATAGAAGAAAACCACAACTCAGTTCCCCCTACATGGTATTTGAAATAAAAAAGAAAAGCAAACCAGCACAGACAATTACTGAGGAGATTGAAGAGGTATATACATTTCAAACTCATGATCAAATTCAAATCTTCTCTAACTAATATAATTAACATCATCTATTAATTAATAGGTTGGAGGTGTGAATAAAGGTGAAGCAGACCAATCGCATCATTCGCCGTCTGTCAAAGAAGAGACTGAGGATGTAAATAAGGGGGAATCAATACCTTTAGAGCCTACTATGAACGATGATATTATTGTTGATCAACCAACTGCAGATAATAAGGAGGAGACAGAATTAGAGGAGAAAGAGGAGGATCAGGAACATGTGGAAACAAATTATGTTGATGAAAATTATCCTGATAAGGTATATATTTTTTCTTTATTAGTTTCTATAAATAATTTTAATATTTAAACTATACAGTATCATTTCCTTATTTTATAGGTTTGTCCAGCACCACTTGTGGTTGATTTTCCTGCTAGAGAACAAATTCCAAATTATATGCGGGAAACAATCGACCTTTGCTGTAGCAAATTTACTGACTTGTCAGTGTGTTATTTTATTAAATTGCTTTATATGTCATACTTTCGTATAGATTTGACTCAACCTTCATATGTTTGAAGGGCAGAGGTGATTTAGTTATTAATATGGGACATGAGTCGTTAACACGATGTTATCTAGATGAACTCCTCAAGGAGGGTTGGTTGGGAAACGAACAGGTCGATTGTTTTGCAATGTTGATGGAGACTAAAAGATGTGAAACACCACAATTATATAAATCTTACTTATATAACTCTCCATGCCACTGGGTAAATTTTCGCTTACCTTTCTCCTGTAACGTACCTTAATACATCTAACACACCAACCTTATTCTTATTTGACATGTCTCTCCTTTTATACAGCTGTATAAAGTTGGAAATGTTAAAAGATTTGTAGAGCACATTACAACCACAACTGCTGTGTACGCTGAGTTGATTTTACTTCCAATAATAAATAATCAGCATTGGACATTACTAGTTGGGGCAATAAAGGAGCGTAGATGGAGATTTTACGACTCCTTACCGAATAGAATGCATATGAATATCACCGACGCTGTTGTAAGTAATTGTATTTACTACTTAGTGGTAGTGAAGTTGATTTTACGACTCATACTTAATTTCAAATAATTTTGTAGATTAAACATTTTTGGAATGATGCTGGCCAAGCTTTCGAATTTGATATGAGAAAATGGCTGATACATATAGTCAGGGGCATACCAGTACAAAACAACAATTTTGACTGTGGAATATTTGTATGTAAATATATAAAAGTAATAGTGCAAAAGAATAAAGTTGATTGGAAAGAATACTTTGAATGACAGAAGTCTATGTCACTATTTAGAGCATAAATGGGGTATGAGATATGCAAATTTGCTTTATCAAGAACATGATCACATGCTTATGTCTATTACCATTTAACCCTTTAATCACCCAAGGAATCATCATTTTTGGTAAAGTTATGAAGGAATGACATAGTTTTCTTTGTTTATAATGCAGGTCCTGCTTTCACCCAAGAAGCATGCTCATTAACTGTAATGTAGATCCAGTTTTCGCTTTTAATTACATCTACACCTTCATAAAAAAAGAGTTTTCTTTTCTTGCATACATGTTTTGTTTATAAATACATGCTCTATTCCTTTTAATACTGGGTAGTTCCTTTTAATCAGTACCTGTTCGCTCTTAAATACATGCTTTGTTTATAATGCAGATCCAACTTTCACCCAAGAAGCATGCTCATTAACTGTTCGCTCTTAAATACATGCACTGGGTAGTTCCTTTTAATTGGCATTGGCTATGGTGGATTTGTTTGTAATGCAGATCCGGTTTTAGCTTTTAAATACATCTACACCTTCATACAAACATAATTTTCTTTGTTTGTATACATGCTTTTTTTTATAAACACATACTTTGTTCCTTTTAATATTGGGTAGTTCCTATTAATCGGTATCCGTTCATTCTTAAATACATGCTTTGTTTATAATGCAGATCCAGCTTTCAACCAAGAAACATGCTTTTAATACTTTCCATTTTGAGATTCTGTAGCTTTCGCTGATTTCCATTGTTTCCTGAATTCGCATGTGATACATGGCTATGATTTTGAGAACTATGCCAGAAGAGAGATTATGAATTGACGTTGGCATAACCTGTTGAGTTCTGCTTCAAAAGCCAGCCTTTGGACTTAAAAAAAGACTATATCAGAATTTTTTTGTTGAACTATTTTTTAAAATTAAAGCAGTTATAAATTTTAGCCGATGATCAATTTTTGTATAACCTGCAACGATGATCTATTCTAATTTCTTGATTTGTGTAGGCACAAAAGCAGATTTTAAAGGACGGATGTTGCGGGTCTTCAAATTTATTATCGGGGGAGCAGCAAGGCTGATTATATACACTGATGAATAGTTTTAGAAAGCTCGTTGCTGATGGACAGTCTTAGATTTATTTTTTCTAACAATGTAATATACTTTTTAGCATATGTATAGTTGTTGATTTGTTAATGGATATCGGCTGGATCATGCGTGGTTTTATCGTACCTTATATCAAAAAAGAAGTTTTTATTATGTAATATTACCAAAATATGTGAAATAGATTGTAAATTTTATACTATATTTGAATTTATCTGTGATAATGTAATACATGATTATATCATAATAAATTTGCCCTCTCCGCCCCTCTGTTGTATGTGTGTAAATTTCTCCAAGTGTAATTGCTTCTAAGCTGTTAATTGATGTGTGAATAAATGCAAATGTTTTTGTTAGTTTGGGAGAAACAATTGCAATTTTTTTAAGTTCACAGACGTTTGAATAAGTTGTATTTGTTTCAATACCAGCTTCCTGAAATGCTGCCTTAAATGAAAAACAACAGAGGCAGCATCACTTACAATGATGAGTTCATCGATGTAAATGTTTTTGTTAGTTTGTATTTGTTTCGCTGGACCACAATGATGAGTTCATCGATAAATTCATCAATTACAAGGAATTTCCTTCCTCTGAAATCATTGAAATCGCCTTCCAGAGAAAAAAATTATTCAACAGATGTATGCAATAGCAGCTTAGGCGGACAATATTCGAAAGGGTTGTATCAGGCAAGACATCGTTCAAATTAAATAAAATTATGAAGGACTTTATAATTGTGGGCATTTCTAGCTTTTAAAGGACTGTATCAGCTAGCATCTAAATAACTTTATAAGAAATTTAATGGTCTATTTTAAAATTACATTATTACAGGCAATACATCAAATATCTTTTGAGAGAGTAACATCTAAAGTAATACATTCCTTTTTATTGACTTCACAAAATAGAATTGATCAAAATTGCATTTGTAAAATTCAATCGTTTACATAAAATCATCAAACTTTTAATGTCATTGGTAAAAGGCTTATTTACAAAGTTAAAAGCAACTATTAATCATGTATACTTTAGCTAAATCATACAGGTATCTTCCTTCAAATCTCTATAAAACATGATCAAATCTGAAAACATGATCAAACCTGGATCATTACCGCCATAAAAGATGATCAAACATGATCAAATTTGAAAACATGACCAAACCTGGATCATTACATGATAAAATCTGGATCTTTAAGCTGGACCATAAAAGATTTAAATGATAAAATCTAGATCATACACGTAGATTTGAGCTTGTTTTCCTGGTATAATAAATCTTTAAGCTAAATCATACGGGCATCTTCCTCCAAATATCTATAAAAGAAAGAATTCCTAACATCCACTTATTTGCACAAGATAAATTTATTCTACAGCTATGATTTGCTTAAGATAAAATTCTTCTACAGCTATGATGACCACATCTTTTACAGAAATTCACTCCATGGAGGCATTGTTGCCGTATCGATTGACTCCGTCATCATGGCAATGAAGAATTCTCTATTTCGTTGAGCAAATAAATGAATTCTGCAATGGATAACAATGTATTAGATAAAACTTGAAACCACCCCAAACAACATATGAAATCGAACAAATCACCATTAAATTTGAACCTGTGTTAGGAAATCAGGAAGTGAGCACATGAGTTGATGACACTGTGATGATTCTGATTCTTCGGTTGTTGAAATATTTTTTTGTTTTTCTATATATACAATACATATGACTGAAAATTAATGGTCTGTTGAAACATAAGAAAAAGGGCTAGAGTTTTCGAATATACCTTTGGATCTTTTATTTTTCTCTCATTACCCTTTTAATCTCGCGTTAGATATACCTTTCGGCCGCATTTTGGCAAGATCATTAAGATTTGATTCATTGTTGACAGGCTTTTTATTTTTCTTTTATTCGCTCCTATCTCTAGAATTTTTACCAACTAGTATGTCATCAATATCCAATGACAGTTTCTTCATTGACTCCCTCATGCGCTGCTCAACTTCTGGATTGCCCTTTGCTTTTTGGGTGCACTGATAAGCTGCTTTCTGCATGTGTGCTTGGAAAATTAGGTCGCCTTTAATATCATGCGAGAATTGTGATTGTTGCAGATGCATGTACCCAGAACTGTTATACACATATTTTTTTGCATTTTCAGACCATCTCAATAATAAATATTTAACATGTATCTTCTTAATATGTAGAAAGTTTAGGACTCTAAGAGCGTGTGAACATAGCATCCCCATCATTTCGAACTTCCTGTAGCTGCATTTTCTATCCAAACTCGAACTGTCGAAGTGAACAACCCAAGTAGTGTTGAACATGTGGTCATCTAAATTCTTAATGAAAAACTCATTTTCATTGTTTGTAGATGCATGTAATTAAATACCACATGACTCGTGTATAAACTCTTCCTCAAACATTGTGTACAACTTCCTTGAGTAAAATGCAGCCGCCTGCCTCAGTATTGGACTGCTCTTCGCGACAAGAGTAATCATATATTGATCACATTTGAAATCCTCGTCTTTTTCATTTCGCTTCCATGTTCTCATTACATTTTCGATGCCCAAGAAACAATCTGTAATAGAACTAGTTGGTTTTGAGACACCATGACATATGTTATTAGTTGACTCGCTCCTCTGTGCCGATAAAATTCTCATTCCAAATACATCCTCATTAAAAGCTGTAGACCACTTTTGTCTAATCTTGTACATATCATCTAACCAAATATTGTCCTGGAGATTACCTATCTCAATCATCATCCTATATGTATCATCAAGTTCCTCTTCAGACTCGCATTTGCTCAAGCATTTATAAAAAAGATTACTGACAATCCTATTTCGCACGCCGCAATGAATCTTTGTTGGCAATTTCTTGTATATGTGCCACTGACATAATCTATGTCTTGTATTTGGCAAAATTTCTGATATTGCTGTAGCCATGGCCTGATCCTGATCAGTGTAGATTGTTATTGGATGATTATCACCCATGATGCAGATGAAGGTTTTAAAAAGCCATTTGAACGAGTCTGTCGTCTCCTCTGACAAGAATCCGACTCCAAATAAAACATTCTGACAATTGTGGTTAACACTAATAATAGGAGCACAACATAAGTTATATTTATTCAACCTATAACTCATATCAAATATAATCACATCTCCAAAGCAGTCATAATCAAGCCTGGATGTCCCGTCGCTCCAAAAAAACTCATCAGTCTGCCACTCACATTAGTTTCAAAATCCCATTCAAACATGCTATCCTCGACACGTCTCTCTGCAAACAACTACAATAAAACATTCTCATCATCATTTTCAATTCTACATCTCCTCTCCCTCTGAATGAAATTGAAAGCATCTGTCTTTGTGCATTCCAGGTTCTCTACACCCTCAACTTCTTGGGCTAGGAAGTTAAAAACGTCTTTTGGTCTCATCTCAGATTGTGTCATGGATCTAAGCACATCTGCATTTACTTCACTTATCTTTCTGTTGGAACACAACAAGTGCTTGTCACCGGGGTTCGCTAGTGAGTGGTTATGCAATTCAATTAATTTTTTAACTGTCCAATTGCCTTCCTCATCAACTCCGTATCGAATCATTGCAGAACAACCTGTTCTTGTTTCTGCTTTTCTATATTTAACAGTTTCTGTAATCTTGAGCTTTTTCTTAAAACCTGTTTTTCCACATACAAAGTTATTCGTCTTGATATTTTTGGAGTTAGTCCAAAACGTAGCGTGATCCTTATGAACACTGAATCCAATTTGATGAGCGTAAGCACAATATACTTCATAAGCTTCTTTCTCATTGTGGACCAACGTTTCAAGAAATATGTTTCTTCTTTGCTCGGTACAACTACCATTGCTCTCACCAAACTGCAAGCAATAGAATAAAATGGTAGACTCAATAGAAAGCTCAAAAAACATCCCTAAACTTCATAATGACACCTCAAAATAAAAAAATCTTCAACTAACCTAAAAGCTTATACCTCTAAAAACTTGAGTTTAATGAATGATATATTAATTACTCCAATGTTCACTTCACTGTTTTTATTACACATAATACCATACAACTATGCAAGCATGCCTCCATTTAAGAAAACCATAAACTAATTATAAGAAAACATATAAAAAACATGAGAAACATAACACAGCATGCATACCAAAAACAGTTAGATCCTAAATATAAGAAAACCATAACAACAAAGAACATAAAAGAAAATCCTAAACTAATTATTATAATAACACATCTCCAAACATGCCTCCATTTTAAGTTCCACTTATTATGTCCTGTCCGGATAACATCCATCTTCTCCTTCTGTATCATGCACTGCGTCGAACATAAACCGGCACTCTCTGTAGTCGTACTCCATCTTCAAGGTCAAAAGGTCGAAAAGCTCGAAGCTGCGGCTGCAGGAGAAAATGACCAGAGAACAATGAAACAGTAAACCTAGCTGCTTAAATACCATCTTCGCACTCACAGATTTAAATCATGTACACCGTAGTTACATTTACGGTACAAGCGCGGTTGCAACTGAAGGGGCATAATCCTACGTTACATGACAGCTACAACATGGGTACAATCTCTAATCTATGCGGTTACAATCGCTGTTCTACTATAAGGGCTTCAAAGTCTGTTATATGGAGGTTATAATCGAGTTATAACGATGTATATCACGAGTTACAACGATAGTACAAAGCTGCTTCCGCGGTTTCAGGCAAGTTACACCCGCACAGGAGTATAGCTGGGGTATATCACGATTACAAGCGCGTTACAAGACCCTGAATCGCAGAAGGTATATCTTGGTTATACTCCGGTTACAAGAGCGTTACATGGACCTGTACCGCGGAAGGTACATGGCTAGTATATCCCGGTTGCAAGCGGGTTACAGCAGGCAACCGTGGGAGATATACGAAGGGTGTATCAGAGTTACATTTCAAGGTACAAACGGGTTACATCACAGTCCGGGTAATGGGACACGCGCGGATATATTTTGATTTATTATATTTATTTAATGCAGTGGAGCCCGCCGAAAATTATGTGGCGTCTTTTGATTAGATATCGCATGCATAGCTGCGATGCATTTTAAGTAGACAAATTTTTTCCCTTCTCCCGGCTTCCTTGTTTCGCTCAAAGCTGTCTCTTTGGTGACCAAACCCTCACGATACACTTGCGATCAGTGATAACTGGTAAGTCAACGACAAGATTGCGTTGTACAGAGACCCGAATTCCTATCTATCTCCACTTTCCTCTCTGTTTCTACCAAAAGGTAATCTTCATTTTCGCACTAAAGCCCGTCCCAGATTTACTAAATCCGCCGATTCACATGATTTAGTAAATCCGAGATTTAAGGCCTAAATCCGTGAATCCAGATTTATAAAACTGCGGCTTTATTTTGTCCATAAATCCTGCTCTAAGGTTCTGTTTGGCGTAACTGCAACTTCTCAGCTTTTCAGCTGCAGCTGCGTTGCCCCAGAAAGCTGCTGCGGGGAAGCAGCTGCGGGGAAGCTGACTGCTTGTTTGGTGCAGCTATGTGAAAACAGCTGTGGGACAACTGTTTCTGGAAAAATGATCATTGTGTCAATGTTTGGTAAAACAGTTTAAAAAAAGACTGTAACAACTACATTTTTTAAACTTCTGAAACAAAAATTCATTTATAAACAGAACAGAAAGTTCATATACCCTCACTTAATAGTAAGTCCCGAAAGAACTAAAGAAAAAGAAATAAAATTAATAAAATTACAAGTAAAATAAAAAAAATATAATATTAATAAGGATATGATATATTAGAATAAAATATGTGCAAATTTTTTGTACCTATATGCAAATTTCCTAAACTAGAGTAAGATAATGAAAGACCTTATTTATCAATATAAATTTGAAATTTAAGGGCTGAAATCAATTAATAGAATACTTGATGTAATTATGACAAAGAAATGGTACGTATCTGCACAAATCTGTTCCAAGCAAAAACCAACCTCGTGAGGATGAAAATGCCGAGAAAGTAGCGGCTTTAAGGTTGAGGAGAGAACGACTCTGGTGGCAAGAAATTGAAAGGGGGAGTACGTGGTTCTTTTTATGCATTAGAAGGGAAGTCGCATAATGGCAGATCCATATATTTCTCCAGATCTCACGTCGCCATCGAGGGATCGTAGCATTTGCGGCTTCGTTTAGGTTTGGGACTTGTTTGTATCCTCACAGCCGTTGATCCCGTCGATGCCTTCTTCTTGGACAAGATCCTCGCGTCTTCCTCACTAGTGAAGAGGGGAAGAGGAGATAGAAGATCGGATCGGGGCAGCAGGGTAAAAAAAAAACGCGAAACGCCGGGCCGCGGTGAACGGACCCTAAATCCGTTACTAGACAGGCCGTTAACGACCCGATTTCAGTAACGATCTTGAACAGGAATAGCCAGTCGTGAGATCTACTTCCTTGCGGCTTTCGTTAGTTCTTTAAAAGAAGGTCTGAGAAGGCGGTGGGGTCGAGAATAATGGCTACAGAGTCAGACGGCGAAGAAGAGACAGCCGGAAAGTTGACCGGAAGCCCGAACTTGGTTGTTGATGATGATTCGAGGGAGATGTCCGTCAGTTCCGGCAAGCCCGGTAACGGTGTCCTCTCCCTCCGCGATGACAATCTCGAGACTTATTGGCAGTTAGCTTACACTTCATTTGCGGCTTCGTTTAGGTTTGGGACTTGTTTGTATCCTCACAGCCGTTGATCCCGTCGATGCCTTCTTCTTGGACAAGATCCTCGCGACTTCCTCACTAGTGAAGAGGGGAAGAGGAGATAAGAGATCGGACCGGGGCAGCAAGGTAAGAAAATACGCGAAACGCCGGGCCACGGGGTATAACTTGCGGCCCGCTTTTTGTTGAAAACTGACCGGGCGGTCACTCAAAGCTCCTCAGCCGCTGCGCCAAACAGTCGAAAATAATGGCAACTTGCCATGCCGCTTTCCCACAGCCGCGCCAAACGGACCCTAAGTCTTCACATTTACCATAGTGATGGGATATAGAGGTAACATCACTTCCTCCAAACTATCATATTTAACTCCAACCTGCTCACACAAAGAAAAGATCAAGGAAGTAAATCCCAGACCTGCAGTAGTAATGAGAGTGGCAAAACAGATGATAATCTGACAAATCAAAGCTCCTATGTTGATCAGCTTTCCATCTTGGATATCATAATTTAACATTGCTCTCTCTCTGGTCAATTCACTGAGATGATTTATTGATAGCAGACGAATAGAAATAAAATAGTGTCAGTCCTTTGATGGTGCACATAACTTTGAAGTTGGGAAGTTGACTCTCCTCTCATTAGTTATCATCCAAAGTCCTCTCCCATTAGTCAAGTAAGAAATAATCTCGTCTATTTTTGCTTTAGTTAGACTATAATTTGCATAAGAACATAATGTATCAGATGGTAGATGATAAAACAAGTTGATTACCTCTGATGAAAAAGGTACCAACTTTCCTTGAACCATGACTCTATTATCTTCAGCCTTAGGGAGGTTTGCATAGAACTCCCTAACAATAGAAATAACTTCCACAGCAGCAAAATAGTAGAATTTTTCCCACTGTCGGCGAACAATCAAATCCTCTACGTCTCCACCTGGATTCCTAAAATATTGCTCCTGAATCAGTTTTTGTGATTGCAATGCATCACTGTACCAATCTTGGGCCTTTGAATTAACACATTTACTTGAATCGGAAGGGCTCTTTCCTTTATTCCTCTTTATTCTTGGTGCCATTCTACAAATTTTATAAATTCCAAAAATAACTTCAAAAATTAAGTCTAAATTACTAAACTAAACTTCCAAAGTATAATCTACACTTCTCATGCAATTTCCTTAGATCTTTTTCTCATTTTTCACCATGAATAGTGAATTTTCAAATTTCTCCAAATGTGCTTAAAATACATGGTGAACATCCAAAATTTTTGCATAGAAGTAAAGCTCTTACCTCAAGGAACTTGGATCTAGCAAATTTCACTTGATTCCACCAAGAAATCTTCACTTTAGATGTGCCCTAGCC